AAAAATAAAAAAAATAAAGAAATGGGGTCTCACTGTATTGCCCAGTCTGGTCTCAAATTCCTGGGCTCAAGCACTCTTCCTGCCTCGGCCTTCCCAAGTGCTGGGATTACAGGTATGAGCCACCACACTTGGCCCCATCTTGTTCTTTAAAAAAAAGTTTGTGACTGGGTGAGGTGGCTCACACCTGTAATCCCAGCACTTGGGGAGGCCAAGGCAGGTGGATCACCTGAGGTCAGGAGTTCGAGAGCAGCCTTGCCAATATGGTAAAACCCTGTCTCTACTAAAAATACAAAAATTAACCAGGTGTGGTGGCTCGTGCCTGTAGTCCCAGTTACTTAGGAGGCTGAGGCACGAGAATCACTTGAACCCATGAGGCAGAGGTTGCAGTGAGCCAAGATCACGCCACTGTACTCCAGCCTGGGGAACAGAGTGAGACTCAGTCTCAAAAAAAAAAAGTTTGCTGGACCTGTATGTTAGTGTGTGCCTGTGGTCCCAGCTACTCAGGAGGCTGAGGTGGGAGGGTCACTTTTGAGCCTAGGAGGTCAAGGCTGCCATAAGCCAAGAACGTGCCACTGCACTCCAGCCTGGGCAACACAGCGAGACTCTGTCTCAAGTAAAAAAAAAAAAAAAGCTTGCTGACCTTTGGTCTATACAATCCACCTAGTTATTCTTCAAACCTTGACACCTTCTATGTGCCTAATTCTGGACTGAGCAGTAGGGAGAGGCTAAGCCCTCAAAGAACCCAGTGTGGGAGAGGAGACATGATCACAGCACAGGGTGATAACTGCCATATTAGGGGTCATAGCGTAGGGATGGGCACAGAGGGGCCGCATGTCTGCCACAGCACTCAGTGCAGATCCAGTTAGAGAAACATGTCCTTCCTATGCCCCCGGCGCTGCTGGGTCCCTCAGCCCACTCTCTGAGTCAGCTGGGGAAGCCCAGGGTATATAACTGGTCTCTTCATCTCTTCCCACTGCTCTCCAGGCTCATCCCCACTGGAAGGGGAGTATGGGGATGGGGCTGCTAGGAAAATGCAGGCAGAGGCTCAACAAGTTTTTCTTTTCTTCCCCCATCCCTCACCTGACCAGGCTCACTCTTCCAGGTACCCAGACCAATCAGAGGCATCTTCTGCCCAGTGTGCAGGAGAACACAGGAAGCCGCCATTGCCCCCTGAAACACAGATCGAAAGAGAATGGTGTTGGGGTTAGTGCTGTTGTTCAGGTCTCAGATATCCACTGTCAAGAATACTGCAAAACGGCCAGGCACAGTGGCTCATGCCTGTAATCCCAGCACACTGGGAGGTCGAGGCGGACAGATCACCTGAGGTCAAGAGTTCAAGGCCAGGCACAGTGGCTCATGCCTGTAATCCCAGCACTTTGGGAGGCCGAGGTGGGTGGATCATGAGGTCAGGAGATTGAGACCATCCTGGCTAACACGGTGAAACACTGTCTCTACTACAAATACAAAAAAATCACAAAAATTCACCGGTGTATGGTGGCAGGCACCTAGTATGTCCAGCTACGTCTGGAGGGGCCAAGAGCCAGGAGACACATGGTGTGAACCGAGTGGACTGGCGCAGTGAGCCCCGAGATCTGGGCCACTGCACTTACTGCTGCGGCGACAGATAGCAAGCATCTGTCAAAAACAAAAAAAAAAAAGATTCAATCCGACCAGCTGGGACCAACTTGGTGGAACCACCGCCATCTCGAGTATTAAAAAATACAAAGAATTATCTGAGGCATCAGTGGTGCGCACACCCCATGCAGTGCCGCAAGCACTACGCCGCGGGGGACAGGCGCCAAAATCACTTGAATCTGCGGAGGGAGCAGGGGTTGCAGTGAGCATGAGCATCAT